CTGTATAGCAAAGGACACCACCAATAGAACAAAAAGGCATCCTACAGTATGGAAGAATATACTCATAAATGACATATCTGCTAAGGGGTTGACATCCAAAATATATAAAGAGCTCATGTGCCTCAACAAACAAAAAGCAAATAATCCAATTAAAAAATGGGCAGAGGATCTGAACAGACACTTCTCCAAAGAAGAAACTCAGATGGCCAAGAGGCACATAAAAAGATGCTCCACAGCACTAATCACCACAGAAATGCAACTTAAAACCACAATGAGATGTCACATCACATCAGTTAGGATGGCCACCATCCAAAAGATAAACAACAACAAATGTTGCGGGGGATGTGGAGAAAGAGGAACCCTCCTACACTGTGGTGGGAATATAAACTAGTTCAACCATTGTGGAAAACAGTATGGAGGTTCCTCAAAAAACTCAAAATAGAAATACCATTTGACCCAGGGAATTCCACTCCTAGGAATTTACCCAAAGAATGCAGGATCCCAGTTTCAAAAAGACAGATGCACCCCTATGTTTGTCGCAGCACTATTTACAATAGCCAAGACATGGAAGCAACCTAAGTGTCCATCAGTAGATGAATGGATAAAGAAGATATGGTACATAGACACAATGGAATATTATTCAGCCATAAGAAGAAAACAAATCCTACTATTTGCAACAACATGGATGGAGCTAGAGGTTATTATGCTCAGTGAAATAAGCCAGGCAGAGAAAGACAGGTACTAAATGATTTCACTCATCTATGGAGTATAAGAACAAAGAGAAAACTGAAGGAACAAAACACCAGCAGACTCACAACACCCAAGAATGAGCTAACAGTTACCAAAGGAAAGGGACTGGGGAGGAAGGGTGGGAAGGGCGGGATAAGAGGAATAAGGGGCATTATGATTAGCACACATAATGTAGCGAAGTGGGGCACGGGGAAGGCAGTATAGCACAAAGAAGACAAGTAGTGACTCTATAGCATCTTACTACAGTGACTGTAATGGGGTATGTGGTGGGGACTTGATAATGGGGGGAGTCTAGAAACCACAATGTTGCTCATGTAATTGTATAATAATGATACCACAACAAAACAAAAAAAGGTATTAGTACCCCCATTTCACAGATTAAGATACTAAAGTTTAGGAGTGTTAAGTACCAGAAATCACAAAGCTAGAGAGTTTTTCACTGCATTATGTTTCCAGTAAATGCTGCTGACTTTGAACATCTATGTTTCTTCAGGGAAGGGAGACATGCGGAGGGCCTAGTATCAGAGAAAGGTTTCATGAAAGATCTGAGACAGCAGCAGACTGTTAATAAGTGAATAGAAGTTGGGCAGAAGAAGAGGTAGAAGGATATTGCAGGCCTGCTGGGAGCAGTCAGGGCATGGAGGAAGTATGTGTGTGCTGAAAGGCCCAAGGTGGTGCTAGCTTCATGCCATGGAGGGTTTGGACAAAACATGTTGAAAAGGTATATGGACCCAGTGAGGGAAGCCTTTGACCCTCAGGCTGGAAAGTGGAAGAATTTCTGCCTCTTCTTCCCTGTACTCCATAGTATCACCTCCTCCACCCATTCCCTCCAGCTGTGTGGAACAGTGGGGAGACTGTGCACTGTGGGGCTTCATGTGGTTCAATAAATTACACTGTGTACCTGAGTCTGTTTCTTCACTTGCAAAATGGAATGTAGTGATGACTTATTACATGGGACATACTGGTGGAGCACCCAGGACTAGTGAATGTGAGCTGTTCCCTTTGTAGTTCTTTAACCTCCCAGGCCTGGTCCAAGTTCTACAAAGTCTCCAATGACAAGTCATGGGGGGAGCCAGTTCTTGGAAGAAAGGGAAGATCACCTCACACTTTCTCCACATTCTATTCCTGCTTATGCATTCTGATGTCCTGCTTGCTTTTTTAGGCTTTAAGTGCTATCCTGCTGACTCACTTCCGACTTCTCATTCATCATGCTCAGTTCCTGAAAATGGAATGGAATGGAAAGGGCCGGATAATGTACTGCCTGGTGATGTGTTTAAGGGGAACTGGGTGTTTGTCAGGCCAGCACCACATGGATGGAATGCTGGGGACATGAGCTGAGCAGTGCCCAAAGTGCATTTCTCATCTGACACCGAGGACACTTTGCCTTGGATTGTAATACTAATAATAACCTCCCCACTTGCTGCCACTGATGAGAGGCCAGGCAGGCCCCAGGATACATGCTTTCCATGATTGTCAATTTGAATCATCACAACTGAAGAAGTCAGGGATCTCCTGTATTTTATGGACATGCAAATTCAGACTATAACAGGTTAAGATCACATAGCTAGTAAGGGAAAGGGTAGAGATTCAAACCCATGATCTAGATCTGTGCTATCTAATCCGGTAGCCATTAACCACATGAGGCTTCTGAGCACTTGAAATGTGACTAGTGTGCCTGAGGAAACTGAATTTTTAATTCAGTTGAAATGTGCTGTAAATGCAAAATATACACTAGATTTTGAAGACTTATTATCAAAATATACATATATGTACAATTTTTTTACATTGATAACATACTTAAAATGATATTTCAGATATATTAAGTTAAGTAAAATATATTTAAAATAATTCTACCTGTTTCTTTTACTTGTCTAATGTGACTACTAGAATATTTGAAATTTTATATATGGCTCCCATTATATTTCTATCAGAGCTGATCTAAACCATAAACATTAAATGGTCACTAGACCAGTGATTTTCGAGTATTTTTGTTAAATTTTTTGAGCATAAATCCCCAACTTATGTATTTTTTAAAATTTATTAATTATATATACATGTACACTTCTCCATATATTATGTACACTATAAAACAGTGACAAAATAGAGATTTAAAAAAGATGACATAAAAAATAAGCAGAAATAGAAGTTGTACTAATTTCTTCCAGGAGCCTAATGGCTCACTTTGTGTATCACCTGGAGTGTGTACACACCATTTTGGAAACTCCTGCACCAGACTTAGAGCTCCTGACGGGCAGAGACTGTTAATTCATGTATCTCCCTTTCCCCATTCTGAAACCTAGATGCCTTAATATAGTTGGTGCTCAATAAGTGTTTGTGGCAGGAATGAATAGCTCTTATTATGCCTCATTTTCTGGTGGATTGGATATTTTTCTTTATTTCACATGTTTCGAGCGCTTTCTAGGTGCTCGGTGCTATGCTAGTGCTGAAAAGTAAACAAAGTTTAAAACAACTCAGCCCCTTTCCTCTAGGTCAGTACTTTTCAAACTTTAGTGTGTTTAAGAATCACCTGGAGGGCTTATTAAACAGATTCCACACACCCCATCCTCCCTCCCCACCGAAGATTCTGATTCAGTATATCTGGGCTGGAACCTGGGATTCTGCATTTCTAAGAAGCTTCTAGGAAACCAAACTTTGGAGGAGACTGATTCACATTGGGAAATTGGAAGAGCATCCCAAATACTAATGGGAGGATGGGACTAGGGAAAGAGAATTAACATATATTGAACTTTTATTTATTTGCTAAGAATTTTTAAGTACATCATCTCATTTAATTCTCAACTCAACTTGATAAGGTACATATATTATCTTCATTTTCAGATGAGGTAAGTGAGAGAAAAGTCGGTTAAATTTCTTAAGTCATAGACTTAGTAAATGGCAGAACTTGGATTGGTACCCACTTACCTACATCAGAAGCTCATGTAAATTTCTATTAAGTGTCATCACCCTTTAGACACTACCTTTGAAACCAAGCATAGAACATTGAGTAGCAAGCTTTCTGTCTTGGTCAAACTCAGTAAACAAAATATAGCGTTCTCAGTGCCATGAGGGAGGCAGTGCCATGGAGATATGTAATAGAGGCACATACTCTACAACAGCATTAGGGAAAGCTTTCCAGAAAAAAAAGGTGAAATTTAAGTGAAGACCTAATGATAAATTAGGGGAGTGGACGTTGGATGCGAGTGTTTTGGGCAGAAGATATGCATGAAGGCTTAGAAGCAACACATCATTTGAGGCACTGAAAGAAGTTTGCAGTGTCTGAAATATAGAAGGTGGAGGTGAGAAATGAGGCCACTGAGGTGGAACCAGATCACATCAGACTATTCAGACTTAGTGACCTTTTTTTCAAGGGAAGGGATATGGTCACACTTGTATTTTTAAAAGATTGATATGCTCCCAGTGGAGGGTGGATTAGAGGAGAGCTAACCTGTAGGCAGGGAGATGCTTTAAAGATGCTAGTGGCATAAATTTGGTTAATAGAGTGGAGACTGGGGAAAAAGGGGTTGTGGTTGGGAGGGGTGGTGTTTAGAAATATTTGAAAGTGTTTAAGGCTTGATGATCGATTAGGAGGGGAGAAGTGGGCAGGTAAAAAAGGAATAAAAAATGATCTCCAGGGTTCTGAGGGCACAGTTTTAGTAAGGATAAGGTCCTGTAAGCTTATTTCATATTTTTTAAAAAGTTTAGATGAATTAGGTCATGTGAAAGTGAAAGAAGGATGTTATTTTAATAAAGTTTCAATAAGTAGAACTTATTGACTTAGAAAATATGGGAGGAAATTACGATCTCTGTGGTTAAGTTCATTATTTTGTTTTAGCTCCTGCCAATGGCCTTATCGTCCAGTGACAGTAGGGTTGTGAATGCTGCAGATAATGCTTCTTTTTACCTAGATCAGCGTTAGCCGTGGAATACCAGCCATAGACTATGAACTTTCCCTCTATTGAGTTTTTTCTGACTGTCTCGGTGAGTTATCTTGGACACTGAGTTTCTGAAGCTGCACACCGCTTGTGCCTCCCCTTATTTCTCCATACCTTACTCCTAAGGATTTGGACTCCGCCCTCTTTGTCTAGGTCCCGCCCTTTCTTTAGACCACACCCACTCGATTGGCCCCCGCCCCCTGAAGATGTCGTCGCTGATATGACAGCGAATTCTCCACAATTCTGACCTAAGAGATCTGAAGGGTGGGACCGAGATCAGTCTTTTTTTCCATTTGTCAAATTAAGTGTCTATCTTACCCCAGTCCTAGCCCACTTCATCTTCAAGGCAAGGATTGGTTGTTCTGTTCTTGGTCCCCGGCTCATGATTTGTTCTTTCATTCCACCCTCTCTTCTAGCTTTTGCAGGCGGGATTAGCACGCAGCTTCCTGCTCCTGCCAAAAAAATAAAAGAAGAAAAAGAAAAGAGGAGAGAGGCGAAAGAAAATGTCACAGAGATCTTTGGTTTTTAATTTGCTTTTAGCTTTGTCGGTCAGGGCAAATTCTGTATTTTGATTGGTCTTTCCGTCTGCCCATCCTGGGTCGTGGGCGGGATTTCCCCAAGAGACCCACACCTTGTTGCCACTGGCCGAACGGTGCGCCTGTCTGAATCTCCCGGCCCAGGATTGGAGGCGGACGCAGACAGGTGGGCGTGGATTGGCTAGGGCAGCCGGTCAGTGTGAGGCTGGGGCGGGGCCTCAGCGGCTGGTTGCGCGTGTCCGCTGCTGGCTCCGCTCTATCCGGCTTTGCCAGGGGAGGTGAGTTCGGCCGCTGCTGCACCGGCGGCTGAGGAGGCGACGGCTGAGGAGAAAGCGGCCGCAGTGACTGAGGAGAAAGCGGCCGCAGGGACGGGAAGCCGGGTGGGGGGGAGGGGGGGAGACGGAGCAGCCTTGAGCCCTGCGGGGGCCGTCGCGCGGGGGGACCCACCCGCTCTCCCCCCCAACCCTTCTCAGCAGAAGCAGCCGGCGGCGGGGGCAGGAGTCAGCCCGCTTCCGACTGCACCCCGCCCGCCTCGCGGGGCTCCTATTCTTTGGCCCCGGGACCCTAACCTCATCCCGGGGCGGTTCCCTCTGTCTGGGCGTCCGAGTGCTGCCCACCTCTCTTTCATCCCTTCCTGCACCTCCTTACCTTTACTTTGCCCCGGTTCGCTTTCTCTTCTGTCTTATGCCCTGTCGCCTCCTCTGCTCACTCATCCCCTCCTGCCTCCTTCCCTGGCTCTTTTCTGTTCTGGAAAGTTTAGTTACCCACCCCTCCACCGCCACCTCCGATCAGGTCTTGACTAGGAGTAGGGTGAGATGTAGGAAGGCCTGAGTTGGAGGGGGGGAAAGCTGGTTTCCCAGGAAATTTCCCCCCATCTTTTTACATTTGGGGTGGTTGGAATTTTTTTTAATTGTATTTTTGAGGAGGTGGTAGGTGTTTAGAAAAGGATGTGGGAATGGAAGGGGTAGATGAGTCAACCCTCTTACAAGATTCCAAGGGTGGTGTGTTACCTGATCCTTTTCGTGTGTGGAGTTCAAGGAGTCGGGAGGTTTGGCCTTTATTCCCACATTCAAAGTTGGAACCTCCCCCAAATTAAGGATGGAGTTTTAGTACCCACTTGTGGCAGGAAACCTGGAGGGAAGGGGACCCTTTTTCCTTTTCCTTTTTCTTTTTCTTTTCTGTTTTTTGTTTTTGTATTTTTGGCAGTCCACACCCTTCCACACACACCCCAAAACTAAACATCAAGATCCTCTAACTTGTTTGGATTGACTGATGAAGACATAAAGCCAGTTACGCTCCATGTTTTTTGGGGTGGAGTGAGTGGTTTTTCTTCATTTTTAAATGGCCAAATGACAGCTTGACCCAGTTTGCTCTCCAATCAAAGGGCATTTCTTTGAATGTCTATTTGTGGCGCAAGAGCCAGCGCAAAAATGATGGCGGCTTACAATGGCGGTACATCTGCGGCAGCAGCAGGTCACCACCACCACCATCACCACCACCTTCCACACCTCCCTCCTCCGCACCTGCACCACCACCACCATCCTCAGCACCATCTTCATCCGGGGTCGGCTGCTGCCGTACACCCTGTACAGCAGCATACGTCTTCGGCAGCTGCGGCGGCTGCAGCCGCAGCCGCAGCTGCAGCCATGTTAAACCCTGGGCAGCAACAGCCATATTTCCCATCACCGGCACCGGGTCAGGCTCCTGGACCGGCTGCAGCAGCCCCAGCTCAGGTACAGGCTGCCGCAGCTGCCACAGTTAAGGCGCACCACCATCAGCACTCGCACCATCCACAGCAGCAGCTGGACATTGAGCCGGATAGACCTATTGGATATGGAGCCTTTGGTGTTGTCTGGTGAGTATCAAGAAAAACACAGCTTCTCATGGTTTCTTCTCATGGTTGTGATTGGACGAGTCACCTCTCATCGTTCCCTTCAAGTTTATCGAAGTAGATCAACTCAGCTGTAGGAAGCCACCCTCACTCCAGTGGTAAAGCGGCCTAATGTGTTGGCTGTGTAGGCTTATGCTTTTGAGTCATGTTAAATTTTGGTGCAACACCCTCTGATGACTAATACACATAAGTTTGCCGTCTTCCAAACTTTCCGTTTAGAACCTAAGCAAGCCACTGAAGGTAGGATCAGTAGATGAATGTAAGAAATGTTTATTCCTTCAAGGACCTTGGTCATCTCTCACGTTTGAGTCAGTCCACCCAGTTGCAGCAAATGTCACAACGGAATCCAAACCTGATTGCTTATAGTAGTCTTGTCTTTGGGATATGCTTTGCACAACTGCTTTGCTGTCCTTTCCATCTTCTCATTCCTTAATTTGTGATCTTGATCCCCAGAAGGAACATGGGGTTCGTAGTTGAACCAGTTAATTCCTTGCTGGAGTGGTTTATTTTAAACCATAAAGCTACAGTTGGGAAGTATGTAGCTTTAGCCTTTTGATAAGAATGCATTAAATATAGCATCACGCATGAGTACCACAAATGAGGTCAGTAGACTGTAGCTATGCAGTGGCCCACATTCGGTATAATGTTTTAGTGTCATTTGGTGCCTCTTAAGTTGCTGTTATCCCTTGGTTGGTGCTGTAGTAGGAAGTATACTTCTTAAACATGAAACTGCTCTACTTTTGCTAGGGCTAGGATATTTAAAAAAATCTAAGGCCCTCCTAAATGCACTATTTTGTCTATTTGCCCTTCGAAAGATTAGTGGCATATAAGAAAATGTATTTATCATTGTTGAGTCCTGTTTCTATCAAAACCAGAATGAACTGGGTCTTTTCTCCCCTAAGGATTAAGTATTCTGGTGTGGATACATGAATTGATGTTTTCAGTGAATTCAAAAATAGATTCTTGTTAATGTCTATAAAGCCCCCATCACCAAAGGAAAATGAACTCTTTGGAACTAGCCTGGGAAATGTCTCCTTCTGTCATTGTTTTTCAGGCTGTAATTGGTATGAGTGTCATTTTTGCTTTATATCTGGCCATCTTTGTTTATATTTCAGATTTTATAACCTAGGCTACCAAGTGATCTGATTTTTAAAAACTACTAGAGTCCAGTGTTTCCCCCACTAGCTCTCCAAGGAGGTTCGTGCTGCAGTGCTTTCTCAAAGATGTGTGGGATTCCTGGTGGGAAAGAGTATAGCGGTAATGGTGCCTCTTCAGTCACTGTGCTCAGGGACCTGCCTGTTCCTGTCTTTCATATCCTCAGGGATTGCTCTGTGAACTTCCATTCCTTGCTTACCCTTGAGGATTTCAAAGCTGGTGTGTGTGTGGTGGGGGAGGGTGTGGGCAGGAACAAGATTGTTCCTTGCTTTAAATGTTGTCCTTGCTTTACTGAGAATTTCTTTGGGTTTTCTTAGACCTGGATGCTTTCTTTCATTTTAGTACTTTGCATACAATGCCAAGAACTATAGACTGACAGGGAAATGGGCTGCAGCATTCTTGACTATATTCTAAAGGATATTAGTCACCTACATTTCTACCTAATGGTGATGTGACTTAGAGAAGTTTTACCTTAAAGCTGGTGCTGAGGGAAAATATTTTTTTTAAAGAGGAGGGTGATGAGGGACTGGAGTGCTGAAACATCTCCCGCAGCAAACATTCTGGTAGTGGGTATTCTGAATACTGATATATGAGAATCCGGTTTGATTTTAATCCATTCTAGATTCTTTCATTGATTGACCCCTTCCACCGCCTATGGAGTTTGTTTCATGTGCTTGAAGTGCCTCCTTCTGTGCCCGATCTTCTGTTATACACCAGTTGTGTGTGTTTACCTTGTCTCACTGACTACATTTGTAAGCCTCTTGAGGGTAAGGACAGTGTCTGCTAGGGTATTTCTTTTTCTCCCCATCACTTAGCTCAGTGCTATGGCATCTTCGCTTCTTGGTTACTTGATGGTCCTAGTCAGGTCCTTCTTTGTTCTGTTACCAGGTTTTTCTAGTTAGCTGCATTGAGTGTGTTTATCAGCTGTTACAGGTGAAATACAATTTGGCATAAAAAAGGAAGAGTTCCAGGAGATTGTTTAGTATGCAAATGTTTTTCTATTTTTGTATTTACATATTGATGACTTATTTAAATTGAATTGCTATCTGGATTGCTTATATTTTGTAATTTAACTGCTATGTGACCTTAGTAAGATTGTTAAAACTAGAGATTTGAACACCAAACCAGAGTGAATTTTACTAGTATTCTAAAATCCAAGCTAAAGACAGTAGTGAGGTTTTTACTTTTTAACGAACAGCACCAGAATTTTTTTTTGATGTAGAAAACACCTATGTCTGAAACAACTATTTTCTAAAATTAAGATGGAACATAAAAATATTCTCCCAGTGATACACCATTTGATTCAAAGCACCATATAACTACTTGAGCATTATAAGAGTCACTTAGATTCAAATACATTTAATGCATTTTGCAACTATTTTTCTTCTGTCACAGCAAATGAAAGGAAACTATATCTGCTCTCGTATCTTTTTCTGGACACGTACCCAGTGATACTAACTGATGGGTAAAAACATTGTGTATAATTTTAAGGGATACTGTTCCTCCATGTAGACAGAAGAGGTATTTGTAGAAATGATGTGGCATTTTACCATTCAGATTTAACACTGAACAATTTGGTCTACCAGGCTTGATTTATCTCTCTGCTGAATTTAGTGGAATAACTTACCAGTATTGGACAATTGTGTAAAAGTAGGGAACCACCTATTAGCTTGCTGGTAAAGGTGGTGCTTTAACAGTTCAATTAAGGTTTCATTAACAACTGTCTGCTGTGTTTTATCTCAGAGTACAGGTTCTAGTTTACCTGGTAATATGATCATGGGGTAGCCTGAGATACATTCATTCCCAATGATAGAATACTTTTCTTGGGTTATCAAAGCATCAAATATAATTTGACCTTTATCAGATTTCAAGACTTCCAAACACCCCTATGGATATTTTCATAATGCAAAACCAAAACACAAAACCACCCACCAGCAGAAACCT